ATAATGATATTAAATATTATTTCAATATGTTATTATTTTCAGCTTGAAAAAAGTTTTAACTTGTATTGATTTGCAATTTCTTTCCTACTTTTTTTTTCCATACAGATTTGAAACCAAAATTGATTCATTTCATGTTACTGGCTTACCAGATAATTTTAAAAAACCTCACCTTCTGACTTCATTGGATGATGCATCACTCTTCCAAATTACATTTGAGATAAATCCACTAGATGAAACTGTTGCTCAGAGGTGTATCATAGAAGCTGAACCTTTAGAAATAATATATGATGCAGTAAGCATTTTCTATATTACCAGGTTTTAATACAGTTCATTTTGACTTTGTGCTTCATGTTAATGATGTTTATTTTGACAGAGGACAGTGAATAGTATAGTGGAATTCTTCAGACCTCCTAAAGAGGTACATCTAGCACAGCTCACTTCAGCAACTTTGACAAAACTTGAAGAATTTCGAGATAAGACAGCAACAGGTAAATTAATGTTGGCAAGTTAAATCTGTACTATGTATTAAATGTTGTATATAAAAATGGTTTTTGTAAAGTTTACTTTATTTCTAGACTGGATACAATTTTAGGAAAATGATGTGGTAAGTACTTTGTTTAAAGGCAGATGTAACAGTAATCACTTTTATACACAGGAAGTTCATATTTAATAGCCACTACAGAATTTTGTATAGAATTTTTGGATGTCATTATTACTGTAATAGGCTTGTCCTTTTCTGTTATAAAGAATTTCAGAGTTTGATATATTGACCTCAAAAAATAAAAGTCATATCCTTTTTTAAGGTTGGGTGTTATTTCTTCCTTAACTATTTGGTAGAGTTTAATAGTAAAGCCATTTGGGTCTGTAGATTTCTGTGGAGGGAGGTTTAAAGTGTACAGATTCAGTTTTTAAAATAGATTATTCACTATAGAGATGATTTTAATGTTTTATAATTTGTTGGGACTTGCTCTCTTATTTCATATATGGTGTTTTTAAAAAATGTTCCACATATGCTGAAAAAACAGTTGAAAAAATATTTACACATATTTCTTAGGATGTGCTGGGCATGGTATCATGCGCCTGTAATCTCAGCACTCAGGAGGCGGAGGGAAGAGGATGGTTGTGAGTTCTAGACCAACCTGGGCTACACAGTGAGCTCAAGGCCAGCTTGAACTGTATAGTGAGACCCTGTCTCAAAAAGACAAAAAAAAAAAGCGTATTTCTTAGGATGTGTTTGTTAACCATATGCAGGAATTCAAGTCTTCTGTCTTTACCTGTTTCTTTGTTACCTTGTTCTAATAGTTATTTAGAGAAATAAGTGAAAACTATCTGAGCTTGAATGTACATTTTTCTGTTTCTTCTTAGATCTGTCATTTGTCTTAGTAAATTTGATACATGTATACATGTTACAGTCTGTTATCTTTTATTTGCATTTACTTAATTTATTTAGGTTTATGTCTCACATTTACTTATATGCTTTTAAATTTGGCTTGCTTTGCCCAGTGTGGTGGCACATACCTGTAATCCTGGCACTGGGGAGGCTGAGGCTGGAGGATTACTGTGAGTTTGAGGCCAGCGTGGCCTGCTTATCAAGACCCTGTCACAAAAACAAAACAAAACAGCTGCTTTCTGGCTTGCCTTTGGATAAATTCTATCATTCCTTCCTCTCCTCTCCTCTGTTGAAAGTTACACAGTCTTTAATTTCAAAATAACAAATTTTTGTCAAATTATAAATTTAATAAAAATTTTACATTCTATTAGTCTTTATAAAGATCCTAGTACTCTTGAATGCTACTCACCATCCACCCGCTGATGTACATGCTATGTTCCTTTTTCTTTTAACTTTATTGGAATTTTTTATTGGGTAGATATAGTCTATTAGTTTAGAATTACATCTTTTGTTGATTTTCATTTTTCCTTGCACTTCATATCTTTTGCCTGAGATTATTCTCTTTTTGTTGGAAGTTCAATTTCTTTTCTTGTGAGAGTCTGCTGGTTAACATTTTTGTTGTAAAATATTTTACCCTCGAGAGTGCGTGCATCTGGACCCCGCCACCATTACAGACGGAGTCCTGGCCCCCCTGCTC